GAAGAGCAACCTCAAGGCACGTAATCATCAGATTCACCAGGGTTGAAATGAAGGAGAAAATGCTAAGGGCAGCAAGAGAGGAAGGTTGGGTTACCCACAACAGGAAGCCCATCAGACTCACAGCAGATCTCTCAGCAGAAACCCTATGAGCCAGAAGAGAGTGGGGGCCAATATTCAACATCTTTAAAGGAAAGAACTTTCAACCCAGAATTTCATATCCAGCCAAACTAAGCTTCATAAGCAAAGGAGAAAAAAAATCCTTTATGGAAAAGCAATTGCTAAGAGATTTTGTCACCACCATGCCTGCCTTACAAGAGCTCCTGAAAGAAGCATTAAACATGGAAAGGAACAACCAGTACCAGCCACTCCAAAAATGTACCAAATGGTAAAGACCATCGACACAATGAAGAGACTGCATCAACTAATGGGCAAAACGACCAGCTAGCATCAAAATGGCAGGATCACATTCACACATAACAATATTAACCTTAAATGTAAATGGGCTAAATGCCCCAATGAAAAGACACGGACTGGCAAATTGAATAAAAAGTCAAAAAGCATTGGTGTGCTGTATCCAGGAAACCCATCTCACTTGCAGTGACACACATAGGCTCAAAATAAAGGAATGGAGGTAGATTTACCAAGCAAATGAAGAACAGAAAAAAGCAGGAGTTGCAACTCTTGTCTCTAGTAAAATAGACTTTAAACCAACAAAGATCAAAAGAGACAAAGAAGGGCATTACATAATGGTTAAAGGGTCAATGCATCAAGCAGAGCTAAAGATCCTAAATATATAAGCACCCAATACAGGAGCACCTAGATACATAAAGCAAGTCCTTAATGACCTACAAAGAGACTTAGAATCCCACACATAATATTGGGAGACTTTAACACTCTACTGTCAATATTAGACAGATCAATGAGACAGAAAATTAACAAGGTTATCCAGGACTTGAACTCAGATCTGGACCAAGAAGACTTAATAGACATATACAAAACTCTCCACCCCAAATCCACAGAAGATATATATTCTTCTTAGCACCACATCACACCTACTCTAAAATTGACCACATAATTGGAAGTAAATCACTCCTCAGCAAATGCAGAAGAACAGAAATCATAACAATCAGTCTCTCAGACCACAGAGCAATCAAGTTAGAACTCAGAATTAAGAAACTAACTCAGAACTGCACAACTTCATGGAAACTGAACAACTAGCTCTTGATTGTTGACTAGATAAACAAAGAAATGAAGGCAGAAATAAAGATGTTCTTCGAAATCAAGAATGAAGACACAACGTACCAGAATCTCTGGGACACATTTAAAGCAGTGCCTAGAGGAAAATTTATAGCAATAAATGCCAACATTAGAAGCAAGGAAAGATCTAAAATCCACACCCTACCATCCAAATTGAAAGAGCTAGAAGAGCAAGATCAAAGAAACTTGAAAACTAGCAGAAGACAAGAAATAACTAAGATCAGAGCAGAACTGAAGGAGATAGAGACAGAACCCTTCAAAAAATCAATAAATCCAGGAGTTGGTTTTTTGAAAAGATCAACAAAATAGACCGCTAGGCAGACTAATAAAAGAAAAAGGGGGAGAGAAGAATCAAATAGAGATAGCAGGGGTAGGGAGATTGAGGAGGGATAACATTGAGAGAAATACCTAATGTAGGTGATAGGGGGATGGAGCCAGCAAACGACCATAGCATGTGTATACCTATGTAACAATCATGCATGATCTGCACATGTACCCTAGAACTTAAAAAAAAGAAAAGAAAAAAACACATCTTTCCATGGAACCCCTCTTTCCAGGGACCCTCAGTTCTGTTAGCCACATTATCAAGCTTTCAAAATCAAGTGTTGAATGACAAAAAGGATTCTTTTTTTTTTTGTTAATGAGACAGAGTTTTGTTATGTTGCCCAGAATAGAGGGTAGTTGTGATCATGGCTCACTGTGGCCTTGACTTCCTGGGCTCAAGCGATCCTCTTACTTCAGCCTCTGCAGTAGGAAGGACTACAGGCATGTGTCACCATGCTCAGCTAACTTTTTTAATTTTTTGTATTGATGATGTCTCCCTAAGGTTGGTCTTAAACTTCTGGGTTTAAGCAATTCTCCTGTCTTAGTCCCTCAAGGTGTTGGGATTGCAGGTGTGAGCCACTGCACCTGGCCAGCATTCTTCTTTATCACAATCACTTTGTTATTGAAAATACCTTATAGGCTATAGTTACAATAGATAAATTGGGCCAATTTTTAAGAAATATCATTATACTCACTGGAGATTATGCTAATGCCATGAGAATGGTAAAACCAGGATTTTTTTTCTTCTATTATGCTACTTTGCTACATGTGCTAGGTCATGGTAAATTAAGACCAGTAGTACCTTATTTGGTGCAATGACCATTTATAGGCTTAGCTGGTCATAGCACCCATTGTGAAATTACATGTGAAAAATGGATCCTGCTTTAAGGGAACAGAATCTGGCTGGTCTCCATGGCTCATGCCTGTGGTCCCAGCATTTTGGGAGGCCAAAGCTGGTGGATCATGAGGTCAGGATCCAAGACCAGCCTGGCCAAGATGGTGAAACCCCATCTCTACTAAAAACTACACAAATTGGCCTGGTACGGTGGCAAGCACCTGTAATCCCAGCTACTCAGGAGGCTGGGGCAGGAGACTTGCTTGAACCTGGGCAGCAGAGGTTGCTCCTTTTTCTAGTAGATACAGAAAAACATATGCCCTTTATCAGAGTCATAAAGAGCTCTATGCAACAGGTTTTGTTAGGCAATTAAAGAAAAATTCAAAGTTCTGATTCCTTAAGACAAAGAGCCTGAGTACTAAGACTTCTTTGTAATTGGCAAAAGCCCTAAGGATGTTTTCTTCAAGAAAATTATTATTATATATAAATTTTTCTCCAGAGAGTTAAAATGTTTATGCTGATAATTTTCTTGAAGAAAACATCCTGGGGATATTGTCAATTATAAACAAAAGAGGGTCAGTACTCAGGCATTTTAACTCTCTGGAGAAAAAAATATATTTTCACAACTAAATACTTAAACATTTATCCAATAAAATCTGTAATTTTTCAGTTATTAATTTAACTATTTCTTTCTGACTTTAGAACTTGGAATCATCTGACTTCTCTTTTTAAAAACGATTATCACAAGTACGTGATTGAATGGCCATCTTTTTCTCTAGAAGATATCATCCTACATGAGTCATAGTGGGCTTAGTCAATAGACTTGTATTTCTATTTCTATAGCCATGATTCTATAATCTCATTTGATCATTCCATCAATGTATGGTTTTATAATAAAATATTTTGTTTGTAAATAAAAAGACAATATAGGCAATTATAAGACAGGTAAATTTTTAAAAGATAATGTGATCAAAATATATTTGTAAACTGATCATTATTCTAGCAATCTCTGAAATTCTGTTATTATTTATTAGGTTCTAATTTTTAGGATCTTGTTTTGGACAGTAGTATGTCAAAACTATAACCTCAGATCTTATCCTGTTCTTTCATGACACAGCACATAAATAAGAGACCAATAACTGATCCTTGACACATGTCCACAACATGTATGTTAAAAAATGTAGTAGATAATTAAAAATTATTTAGATGTACATAATGTGTATGTATGTGTGTGTGTGTGTGTGTGTGTGTGTGTGTGTGTGTATATATTCATAAATCACTGTGAATAGGAATCTTAAGGTCTTCTTCTGATCTTTTCTTCACACCCCCAGTACCTTTTTATCTCATTCATCTCTGTCATTATCTCCTCTCTCATTACTCCTCAGCGAGCTGGCAAGATCACTATGTTTGTATGTAGGGATTATCTTATTATAGTTCAAGGAGGAGACTGTTTTTTAAATATTCCCATACTGTGACTTTGTGGGCATGAATTGAAAATGGGTCCTATCCCAAGATGTCTTTCTCAATTTGAGATTTGACCAGTGAATTTTAGTTCATTGTGCTTGCATGTTAACAAAAGAAGTTAAAAAAAATAACAATGCATTTTTAATCTCTGAGATAATTTCATTTGGATTGTGTGTTCCTATGGGAAATATTGAAATTCTGTGTATTTTATATAAGTTTATATTTTGACCAGAGTTTGTTTTTTTTTCCCATCCGCTAAAGGTTTTAGCTGTATTTATTAGATATGACACTTACGATGTTGTATGGAGGAATATTTTTATCTTGGTGCTTGCTTTGGTATTGAAAAAGCATCTTAGACAACTGAAATCTACAGCAAAAAATATTTTAATTCATTTGGAATAATCTTGGATAGTTCGCTTATAGCTTCATTTATCTTGTGAAAATGTAGTGACAATTCTTTTTAAAATTCTATGTACTTTTTTCTTTTGAAAACTTAAGTAGTTCGAAAACCAAACATCATATGTTCTCACTGATATATGGGAGCTAAGTTATGAGGACACAAAGGCATAAAAATGATACGATAGACTTTGGGGACTTGGAGGGAAGAGAGGGAGGGAGGCCAGGGATAAAAGACTACAAATATGGTACAGTGTATACTGCTCCAGTGATGGGTGCACCAAAATCTCACAAATCACCACTGAAGAATTTACTCATATAACCAAATACCACCTGAACCCCAATAACTTATGGAAAAATAAAATAATAAATTAATTTAGTTCACATAAGTGAGTTACATTTATTACCATAAAATGCTACAATCTGAAGCCTCCCTCCCCCAGAACATCTTCTAGTACAGTTCTCTAATTTTACAAGTATTAAGAAATGTTAAGTAACTTACTTGTAGTCACAATAATTGTTATAGGCAGAGTTGAGACTTAGAACTCAAGTCTTCTAACACCTCTTTCTGAACTGATTCTACTATATTATGTGGCTTCAAGAAACTGAAAATTGTTCTCATCACATAAGCTAACATAAGTTAAATTATATTTTATTCATATTCATATTCATATATTAATTTATATTAACATAAGTTAATTCTGTTTCATTGCATGTTTTCCAGGGTCAAAACATTTTTGGCCTCGATGTCATTGAAACGCCAGAAGGAGACAAGGTGCCACATCTGATTGTTCAAAAGGAGTTAGATAGGGAAGAGAAGGATACCTACGTGATGAAAGTAAAGGTTGAAGATGGTGGCTCTCCTCAAAAATCCAGTACAGCTATTTTGCAAGTAAGTGTTACTGATATAAATGACAACCACCCAGTCTTTAAGGAGGAGGAGATTGAAGTCAGTATACCAGAAAGTGCTCCTGTAGGTACTTCAGTGACTCAACTCCATGCCACAGATGCTGACATAGGTGAAAATGCCAGGATCCACTTCTATTTCAGCAGTCTAGTCTCCAACACTGCCAAGAGATTATTTCACCTCAATGCCACCACTGGACTTATCACAATCAAAGAACCACTGGACAGGGAAGAATCACCAAGCCACAAGTTACTGGTTTTGGCAAGTGATGGCGGATTGACTCCAGCAAAAGCAATGGTGGTGGTAAATGTTACAGATGTCAATGATAATGTCCCATCCATTGACATAAGATACATCATCAATCCAATCAATGGCACTGTTGTTCTTTCAGAAAATGCTTCACTCAACACCAAAATTGCTCTCATAACTGTGACGGATAAGGATGCAGACCATAATGGCAGGGTGACGTGCTTTACAGATCTTGAAACCCCTTTCAGATTAAGACCAGTATTCAGTAATCAGTTCCTCCTGGAGACTGCAGCATTTCTTGACTATGAGACCACAGAAGACTATGCCATTAAAATACTGGCTACAGATGCTGGCCAACCTCCTTTGAATGAGTCATCTATGCTCCTCATCAAACTGAAAGATGAAAATGACAATACTCCAGTTTTCACCCAGTCTTTCGTAAGTCTTTCTGTTCCTGAGAATAACTTTCCTGGTGCACAGTTGACGAAAGTAAGTGCAACAGATATAGACAGTGGGCCTAATGGGGAGATCAGTTACCTGCTAGGCACTGATGCGCCACCTGAGTTCGACCTGGATCGTCGTACAGGCATGCTGACTGCAGTGAAGAAACTAGATAGAGAAAAACAGGAAAAATATTTATTCACAATTCTGGCAAAAGACAACGGGGTGCCACCCTTAACCTCCAATGTCTCCGTCTTTGTAAATGTTCTTGATCAGAATGACAATAGCCCAGTTTTCACTCACAATGAATACAATTTCTATGTCCCAGAAAACCTTCCAAGACATGGGACAGTAGGACTAATCACTGTAACTGATCCTGATTATGGAGAGAATTCTGCAGTTACTCTCTCCGTTTTAGACATGAAAGATTCCTTCACCATTGATTCACAAACTGGTGTCATCCGACCAAATATTTCATTTGACAGAGAAAAACAAGAATCTTACACTTTCTATGTAAAGGCTGAGGATGGCGGTAGAGTATCACGTTCTTCAAGTGCCAAAGTAACCATAAATGTGGTTGATGTCAATGACAACAAACCAGTTTTTATTGTCCCTCCTTCCAACTACTCTTACGAATTGGTTCTACCATCCACTAATCCAGACACAGAGGTCTTTAAGGTAATTGCTGTTGACAATGACACTGGCTTGAATGCAGAGATTCGTTACAGCATTGTAGGAGGAAACACAAGAGATCTGTTTGAAATCGACCAAGTAGCAGGCAACATAACACTGAAGGAGAAATGCGTTGTTACAGACCTTGGTTTACACAAACTGTTGGTCAAAGCTCAGGACTTAGGACAACCTGATTCTCTCTTCAGTGTTGCAATTGTCAATCTGTTTGTGAATGAGTCACTGACCAACGCTACACTGATTAATGAACTGGTGCATAAAAGCACTGAATCGCCAGTGACCCAAAATATTGAGATAGCTGATACATCCTCACCAATAAGTGACTATGTCAAGATCCTGCTTGCAGTTCTTGCTGGCATCATAACTGTCATTGTAGTTATTTTCATCGCTGCTGTAGTAAGATGTCACCATGCACCACGCCTTAAGGCTGCTCAGAAAAACAAGCAGAATTCTGAATGGGTTACCCCAAACCCAGAAAACAGGGAGATGATAATGATGAAGAAAAAGAAGAAGAAGAAGAAGCATTCCCCTAAGAACCTGCTGCTTAAATTGGTCACTATTGAAGAAACTAAGACAGATGATGTTGACAATGATGGAAACAGTGTCACACTAGACCTTCCTATTGATCTAGAAGAGCAAACCATGGGCAAGTACAATTGGAGCACTACACCCACTACTTTCAAGCCTGACAGCCCTGATTTGGCCCGACACTACAGATCTTCCTCTCCACAGCCTGCCTTCCAGATTCAGCCTGAAACTCCCCTGAATTCAAAGCACCACATCATCCAAGAACTGCCTCTTGATAACACCTTTGTGGCCTGTGATTCAATCTCCAAGTGTTCCTCAAGCAGCTCTGATCCCTACAGTGTTTCTGACTGCAACTATCCAGTGACAACCTTCAAGGCAACTGTGTCTGTACACGCCAGACCGGTAGGTAACCCAGATTTCTAATACAACTTTCTAACTATATTTTTTATTGTTTTCAGTTGATGTGGAACTTTACAAAATCTATTGACTTCAAAGAGGGATCTAAACAATCATATTCTATAGATATATCCAAATAGATATATGGATTCATTTAAGTTTGGTGGAAGATGAGAACAAAATAACTGCTCTTTTAGGAAAATTAGATGCAGAATGATGATTATAGTAGGGGCAGTTTTGTCTGTTTATGGCAGTATGACAATTCTTGCTACAGAATCTATTAGAAAAACTTCAACACAAAGGGTTGTAGCCCTGTCCTCAGTACCATTTTTGTGTGCATGAGGATTAGAATACTCTGGGCTAGATATAGCACAGTAAAGCTTTTTAGAATCTGATAAATAGCTATAAATACTAATGATGTTAGAATCCTAGCTTCACTTGGGAAAATTTGTGGTTGTTCACAGAAATTCAGCAGTGAAATAAAATCCCCTCCCCGCACCCACTCTACCAGGCCTTCAGGCCCTCACAAAGAAAAGTGTCATTTTCAGATTAGGAACTCAAAATTATTTTGGTTCATCAAATCTACAGTCACACAATATAACAAGAATGGGATTACAAAAATGAAAGCCTACTCACTCTCATCTTTAAGCCAAAGAATAAAATATATATGAGGTCTCTACTCTAGATAGCTATTTAAATATTTGCATATTTATTCAAGGTATTTTGAGCTCTTCAGAATACAGTCTTAAAAGATGTATTTTGGAAAATAAAATGTTTGCTTTCTCTAATGGGCACAAAGAAAAATGTGGGCATGTTGAGACCCAAGAAATCAGTGCACGATAATTTAAAACCCAATACGTTTATGAAAGCAAGAGTCTATCCAGTGCCTTTTATCAGTGTTCCATGGAGAAATGAATATGAATTTCTCCAGAGGCTCATAAATATTGAATGATTTACATATGATTATTCCCTTTAAAAAGACAAGCAATGGAATTTACCTATATTTTTTTCTCTTGAAGTCATGCTGTATGTTGACTTTATTATTTTGTCTGTGTTAACTCTTAAGAAGGTGGTAATCTAAGTTTCAGGGACTAAAGTATTTTGAATAACTATTCAGGCTTAACAAAATGGTAGTAATGTGAAAGTCAAAACAGATTTTCTTTCATCAAAATTTGAGATGTTAAAGAAGTCTACTACATTCAAGGTAACAATCCAAATAATTTATCATAACTTTGGAAATTGGTTTAAGAATGGAAGTCATTCAAGCATAAACACAGTTAAATAATACAATAACATGAACCTTGCTCTCTGAATCACACAGTGAACTTAAGGTACTAATTCAGATGTGGGAGCATTTTTGTTACAACAGGTACACAATTAAATGCTGTTTCAAAAGGTAAACTAGAAACCTAGTGTTTGTATAGTTACTGTTAGACTTTAAAGGTATTTATGCTGCAGTTGTTATTTCTACAGCTCGGATGAATCCCGTATTTTACATAGTTAGTGGATCTGGGATGGGCAACAAACATAATAGACGTCAAACATCGCCATAGGGTGTGTTTTGGTTTATATTTAACCATTAAAAAGGGCACTCTCATTTCCTAATTCTTATTGCTATTCTGCTTACTGGATGCATTTCTCAGCATAAAAGTATCTTATGAGTAACATGATATGGTTTGGGTATAATATTCTTTTTTTCCTGGGTTTAATTTGTGACTTTCTTTAAATGTATACAAAGAGTGGGTTTGTGAATTACATGTGTAGATCATCATTTTTAATAGAATGAATGAAGTTAATTAATAGAGCAAGTTCTGGTTTCAGTGCTTTGTGAAGGCACAGAGATATTTTATGAGCTAGACTAATTTTACTTGAGTTTATGAATACATAGTAAGAAGGGCATGGATGAAGAACAAAAAATTGAAGTATTTTTCAAATATCCTCACCTTTTTGTTTTTTAAAGTATTTTATAATCCTGAAAAGTCAATAAAATTAATGAACCATTTTCCATGATAAATCTTATGTAACTGAGAGACATTTTCCTAAACATAAGTATTAAACAAAATATAAAAAAGTAATGCTCAGGACAGTCAGTTATTGGTTATTATTAGGTTTTTATTAACTAAAAAGACTGTGTTAGAATCACTGAATTTGCAGATGACTTATTTGATATTTTTCACATCTTATAAATAAATTACATACTTTGTCATTGATTCACAGTTGCTTCATATTCATTACTAAATACCTTCAATACATGAATTGGTGAACTTAGCAGACTAACATAATACTAAAAATAATTCGAATCATTACCTTTTGTGCTACATTTGCAATGTTCTTTACCTTTTCTATATACTCACCAGTTTGTGTTTAATATTAGGGTGTTCACTGATGTTGCAGAATGTTAGGAAGATACGTGAACACTGAAAAAGAAATTATGTATTTAAAAATTCAAATACAGTAGGTGTCTTCTTTTTAAAGAAATATCATACAAAATGGGAGAAGGGACAGCCAATACAATACAAATTGATTGTTCCTTAAGGAGATACTTAGAGTGGAATAAAATATTACTGTTAGCAGAAGGCAGAAGTATTCCAATTTATCTTAAACAGTGAGAAATGCATTTTCAAAATGAGGGTTTGGGGATATTTACAGTTATTTCATTACTCATCTGAATAGAAACATGAAAGTGGAATATAAAATGGTTCTAAAAGACTATAAGAGACAAGGGAATCCATTTGAAATTTTATGTTTTAAAAAAGGAATCAAATACTTTCTCCTCATAATTTCTCATTCTCTTTGATCATTCTATAGGTTGTTTTTCTGACTTGGATGTTTTGAGAATATATGGAACATTTATTAGATAGAAGTATATATATTGCATAAAGCCATCTATACCTGGGGAATATAAGGCTCTTCTTTGGCATAAGTTTCTACATTATGGAAGGCATTTTTGTATGTATTGTACTAGAAATTTTAAAAACATGAAATTTGAGAGGATGAGGCTTCACATTATTTTCTATTAACACCTTCCAAAGCAAGCCGATAGTAACTGATTGGTATGACACTAGAGAAACCATAAGTATAAATAATTATTTTAAAATCTGTTTTGATCAATGTCATATAAAAGAGATAAACTGCCAAAACCAAGTCTTGCTTAATACAATTCCCCCATTAAATATTGTGAAGACTGTACATGTAAAAAAATAGAGGGGAGAATAAAAATGAAAATAGAATTCTTTGAGGGTCTTCCAGTCACTGTCTAAGACATGTGTTTGGGGTACAGTATTTCCCAAAAGACAAACGAACAAACCTTACAAATTTCCATGATTTCAGTTGAAATAGTCTTTCAGTTTCAGAAATAAGGTGAAATGAATGGTGAAAACTTTAGAGAGTTCTAATTCATGCATGAAACTATGCTGTAGACATGATACATGGATTTGAAATGATAATTGCAGTTTGAGTTAGCTTGGAATAGGATTGGTATTCGCTATTGTAAAATTCAGTAACTTTGATTCTGTGCATTTATATTTTGGTAATGTGAATTTTAACCATGAAGCATGCTTGGCAAATAAATCTCCTAGAACACAACCATCTGATTTTGATAACGTGTTATTTTTCTTGTCCTAGACTGATTCCAGTACATCACCTATTGAAATCTGCAGTGAGATATAACTTTCTAGGAACAGCAAAATTCCATTCCCCTTCCAAAAAATTTCAATGATTTGTGATTTCCAAATTAGGCTAAGATCATTAATTTTGTGATTTAGATTTCCCATTGAAAGCAAACAAACAAAAACCATCTTAAAAATGATGTCCCATGTTCTTTCTTTAGCTGTAATCTGGTAATGGAAATTTAAAATTTATGGAAGAGACAGTGCAGTGCAATAACAGAGTTCTCTCATGCTGTTTCTCTGTTTGTTTGCTCTGAATGTCAACAGCTGTGATGTAATATAATGCTGTCTTGGTATATACACTTATGGTAAATATATCAGTCATGAAACATGCCATTACTTGCCCTGATTGTTGAATAATTAAAGCATTATCTCTGGGAGTTTGGAAGTGAAGCTGAACTATCCAAGCTACTCTCTGAAAAGTATCCAGGGCAAGAGGTTTTTTTTAAGACCCCAAACAAACAAAAAATGAAACCAAAAACTCTGGTTCAGTTTTTTGAAAATATTCACTGATATAATGTTACTGAGAAAATCACTGTAATTACCCACTTCTCTGCTTAGAAGTTGAATGATAGAAAATAATTTTACTAGGTTTTTATGTTGGTTGTAATCATGCTGTTCCACTCCTTTTAGTCATTAGAAAGTTATTTTTTGCCGGGCGCTGTGGCTCACGCCTGTAATCCCAGCACTTTGGGAGGCCGAGGCAGGCGGATTACCTGAGGTCAGGAGTTTGAGACCAGCCTGGCCAACATGGCAAAACCCCGTCTCTACTAAAAAATACAAAAATTAGCCGGGCGTGGTGGCAGGCGCCTGTAATCCCAGCTACTCGGGAGGCTGAGGCAGGGAGAATTGCTTGAACCCGAGGCAGAAGTTGCAGTGAGCCGCTATCATGCCACTGCACTCCAGCCTGGGTGACACAGTGAGACTCTGTCTTGTAAAACAAAAAAGGAAAAAAAAGTTATTTTTGTCGTAATAATGTTTTCTTTCTCTATAAAAATTTTAAAATAAAGAAGTCCTTTCCATTTTTATCTGTCAAAAGGAGACTGTAAAGTTCTTTTTACTCCCTGATATTTTGAAAAATAGTATAATGATATTTCTTATGAAACATAATTCCAGTCATATGAAGGTGGAAATAAGGATTGAGATAGGAGATTTCAAAGAGATTTTATCTCGATTTTGAAACTACCTAAGAAAAATGTGAGTTTGCTAGAGTAACTTATTTAAATAAGTCTATTTATTTCTCTAGCATTAAATTACTAATTATATATCATTTCTTTAATTTTTCCTTTAAAGTTAACTCTTCACAGTAAATCAACTAACTCATTTTGTACACAAATGAGAAATTCCTCATATTTTGTGTACATTATGTTTTACTGAGAAAAAAATGACATGTTCCAATTTTATGCTATATTCTTAAACTTTTTCTGACTTACTAACAGTACTAACAGAAATTTTTAAAATCATGATTTATTGAGATAAAAAGGGAGTACAAAGGACCCTTATAATGACTACATAACATATGCTTCTTGAATTTTTATTCAAATGTTAATTATGTATCATTCTATCTTGAAAAGTGTGAATAGGATTTGGTCTGTTTTGTATGTACATTAAAATTAGTGTGTTAATTTGAAGTGTTCTTTGATGTAATGGTATATAGAAAAGTTTTATGCTCTGTTCAGTATTTCAAATTAGTGTAACTCTTGGGTGTTTAATATATAGGTAATACTTTAAACAAGTTTCTGTTAAAATTGAGTATTCCCATTAGCTCCATACAGAATCCCTTGTATTTCCAATGATGTCAGGTTCCTTGAATGTACATGCTATCTGGTTGTTTAAACATTACTTAGTGGATTATAATTACTGTGGGTGTAACTACTTTTACTGGTAATGTGAGGTGTCATGTGAGTTACAATATTGTGTTACATACTTATAAACAACTGTTGTAGGAAAATTGCTTAAAATTAAAATATACCTTTGTACAAGTTATTCACATAGAAAAAGTTTGCAGTTCCTCCCTTTTATTCTTGATGAATATTTCAGTTTCGTTCAGATCATTCCAAGGAATGTAAAAATTAAGCCAACTTAGTATATTCCTAAAATCAGTGCCCTGCAGGTAGCAAGATATACCTAGAATGAAGGTTTCCAAAATCTAAAGTTTCAATTTTATTTTGAATAAAATAACAAAGCCCAGAAAAGTGAATCAGAAGTTGAAATATCCCATAATAAGCTGCCATGTCTTCATGATCATTAGTGTATGTAATTTTTATACAAATGCATTTGCATTTTGATTGCTCGTGTCATGACTCTCCTGGCCTTTCCTTTTCTGCACCCTCTGAACTAAGGTAGAATACCTTGTTTTTCTTCCATTTCAGTGAACCTTTCCTTCATAACTGTAACGAGTAAAGGCCTTATGACTCCTTTGTGTATATGAAGATGAAAATTCCTTGAAATAATTATCCAGAATCTCTTTAAAAGCATTCCTCAATGGTTTGATGAGTGCTGTATTTGAAGAAGATGAAAATAGACACTTTATTTTTAAAGCTGTGACTCGATGTCTTAGAATGCAGTGTCTCTGAGAAAGGAGCTTCTAAACTGACTTCTGCTTTAGGCTAAAATATTTACCCATATAAGCCAATGATAGTACTAAGATTTAACAGTATTTAAATTTGAGCCATAGATGAAAATGAATGCTATTTTTGACTATTAACTATTCTTGATCTAGCCTTTGCTTTTGTTTGAGAGATTATCTCCATTTGAGAACGATATAGAAGGCATCGAAACTAGTTTTCCACAAAGGCCAGAGGGCAAAAATATCTATTTCCTTACTTGATTCCTTCTTATCAGTAGACTTAGGGGCACCTTTAATTTAATTGTCATTATTATATTACATTTACCTCACAAGATCACAGATATCTTCCAACATTTTGTGTTGTCATTAATAGATTCCTGGAATATTCTCAATGAAATGTTCTTGATGGTCTCTATGGTTCTTATTCTAGTCATGCACAGAAAAAGACAGAAAGATAGCAAATCTTAAGACTCCTCATCATAGATTAATAAAAGGAACTTTTAGTGAACTTTATCTATTAAATTACAAGTAGCCTAATTGAAGAGCTACAGTATACTGTATTCTTTCTCCCCTTTAAGCACTCAAAGAAATATTACTTAATTTGATCAAAATCTATAGTTCATAAATTGAACAAAAAATTCTGAAATATATTATCTCATTTATTTTAATTATGCAAGTTTATTTTTAAATGATACAATATTTAAGCTATTATATTTCTGACACTATTTTTAGTTTCAATGATTTAAATGGAAAAATTATAAAACAATTTTAATTCCATTCATTCATTAATCTTTTATGTATAAGTCTGTTTTCTCTGTTGACCACCCTGTCCATGTTATAAATGAAAATGTGTATATGCTTTAGAATAATTTTTAAAAATTGAGTTTATATTCAATCAGTATTTACTATCCTTTTCATTTCGTCATGAAATACTACGGCCTCATTTTGCTATTTTGTCACCTGTACTCCTCACTGTTCAACTAGATGTTGTGATTGTGTGTCTAGCTACGTGTGATGTGCAACCTGAGCACAACAGAAATGCTACAGGACAAGCAGACTTTGAATAATCTTATATAAATCTAAGCCACATTCCGTAAATGCTTCCTGTAGGTACTATTGTGTAATAGACGTGTTTTCTTAGCTTTTATGAAGCTTAATTTGTGTTTATTTTAAATATGCCTTAGCGTTCTACAATATTCAAAGTCTCTGTGATAATACAAAGCTGTATTTGTTGTATATAATTAGTAGTTTTAGAAAGAACTACAGTGCATTTTTTTCATACATCATGGGTATTCATACATGACATTTTGATTTAATGTGTTTAAAATTAGGAGTAGACTTCTAAAATTCTAGAGTAGCTATAGGTTTCTATTTTTATGGTATATGTGATGCACATTTGTTGTAGAAAAATCTAGAAAATAGTATAAACGTTTTAGATGAAGAATTTTAAAATTATTTCTTTTTATTTCAAGCTATAGCAGTAAGCTCTTTATAATAGTAATTCTGTTTGAAGGCTATATAACTTTTGGAAGTGGTGCATTTTTAAATTACAGAATTATGCTTATTGTTTTATAATTATAAACTATACATGCAGGATTTTTTACATGTATTGAAGACTGATTTATTAAGCATATTGTTTATTTTTATAGATGTATGATTGGACAAATTTATGTAATAGCATAGCTTGATTAGTTGATAGTGTAATACAGAGGCATGTTACATATCTCCAACATGAGATTAAACTCGCCTCAGTAAAAATAGAAAGCCTTGATGAAAAAGCTTTTAGACTTTGAAATAATGCCATCTAAATATTTTCCAAAACTTTCCTTAGAACAAACAACCTAGTTGCATAATTATTTCCCTGAATTTTCAGAACCAACTCTTTTAATTTGTCCATATTCTAGATATCCTCAACCAAAATTGTTTTAACCATTCTTTTTGAAAGTTTAGTTATATTTAGTTATCCACCCATACACAAGTATATTCAATTAATAATAAAACTTTTTTATCAAGTGAAAAAAATCACAAATCACATTTCATTAGGTTGCAGATAGTCAAATTCACATCATAATGAAAATCAAGTATTCCAATAGATTTTCTAGAAATATTTGTATTTTATTCCTTATCCTGGAACCTTATATGTATCAATTACATATTGATTTACTTCATAAAATGTTACTATCTTTTGAATACAGTTGACTTTTTAAAAAATTTTCAGTGGCCGGGCACAGTGACTCATGCTTATAATTTCAGCACTTTGGGAGGCCGAGGTAGGTGGATCGCTTGAGATCAGGAGTTCTAGACCAGCCTGGGCAACATGGTGAAACCCTGTCTCTATCAAAAATGCAAAAGCTTAGCTGAGTTTAGTGGCACATATCTGTGGTCCCAGCTACTTGTGAGGCTGAGATGGGAGAATTACTTGAGTGGCAGGGGGTTGTGGGGGAGGTTGCAGTGAACCTAGATCATGCCACTACACTCCAGCCTGGGTGGCAGAGTGAGATTCCATCTGAAAAAACTTTTTTTTACAAATAAATAAATAAATAAAAACATTTTCATTATTTTTGTCTGAAAACAAGGAAGAAACATTAGATACAATAATGCTTTCATTAGTTAGAGAAAAGTTTAAGTAGTACTGCTCTTACTCTTATTCAGTAGTAGTGAAAAGTAAAACAAAGATGCAGCTCTAAAGAAAAATGTTATTTACCGAAATCTATAATATATATTTATTATATGTCAGTTCTAACCTCAATTACAAAATCAATGCAGAGCACCATTTCAGTGATATAACTTAAGAGAATTGATCGTAAACAACTGTTATGTTATCCAAAAATATTTTTGGTAATTCAAACATGCAGCTTGAATAGTTGTTGAGTGACACAAACTTGAAGTAACTAAAATTATTTTTAGAAATTGACTGGCTCTTTTGACATGTAAATACAGATGTAGTCTCATATTCAAACTAGTTTATGGCCTCTTAAATGAGAGACTACATTTTATCATTATTTTTATTAATTTCATCACTTGTTATTCAAAACTATGAATCGAGTGTATTTTTTTTTGCAGAAACATATACACATCATTTATGATGCTCAGATTAAATAATTACTTTTTTTTTAAGACACAGTCTTGCTCTGTCTCCCAGGCTGGAGTGTAGCAGCCTGATCTCGGCTCACTGCAACCTCCGCCTCTTGGGTTCAAGATTCTTCTGTCTCAGCCTCCTGAGTAGCTGGGATTACAGGCATGTGCCATCATGCCTGGCTAAATTTTATATTTTTAGTAGAGATGGGGTTTCGCCATGTTGGCCAGGCTGGTCTTAATCTCCTGACCTCAGGTGATCTGCCCACCTTGGCCTCCCAAAGTGCTGGGATTACAGGGGTGAGTCAGCACACCTGACCAAATAATTACTTTTTTTACACAAAATTAATTATCCAAGAGAAGCTGCTGATATCTTCCAGATGATAATCATGGCTGTGTTTACATGATACCAAAACATCTGGAGGCAAAATACAATTTTTTACTACATTTAGGGCTATTTTGCTGACCTGACAAAATTATTTGACTACATAAAGACACAGACTTTAGTACTACAGAATGATGTTGTAAGTAGTTTCGTTTTCGATAGACAAAGACTTTTACATGCTATATAAAGTTGTCATTATCTGAATCTAGAATAATTGATAACAGCTAACAACAGAATTCCACACAGTGCTGCAATTCAATTTTACATACATACATTTCAGTTGTGTATAAAGCCATACACTTATTTATTTCTAAATAAACACAAATTACAGAAATGAGAGGGAATATACAATTAAATCTTTTTAGGTGTCTGAACTGAAAGATAAATATACCAAACCCATGTTTAGAAGTTGATAAAACTAATTGTGTGTCCAGAAGAAAAGTCATATTAATTTGATGTTTAAGCAATTCTAACGTATTAGAATTAAAATGCGTTAGTGTGTGTGTAAGCACAGATATGTTTGCATATATGTGTGCATATTTGTTTGTCAGATTTCCAGCAGAAAACGTAATATAAACTGCAAACTAAAAAATTCTTAAAAGATTTTGCATCTACATTTACAATGTTATTGTCCCCCTTTACACTATTATTCCTTGCTTCTAAACTATAATCATCGAGTATCCCTTATATCATCCCATATATAATCTTTCATTTGGAAAATTCCTGTCGTATCGAGTACATTCTGTATATGTCCTGTGTTTTCTTCTTTTAATCAAATTGGCCGTTTCCCAAATGATCACAGATCCAGTAATGTTAAAGTACATATAAAAAAAATTAAACTGTTTTTTTTGTTATCTTAGTATTAGTACAGATTGTGCTTCTCACACACACACAAATAAAAATAAATTTGCATTCCGTAACTGCCAACTTCTGCCCAGTTGTTATAACTAAAATATATCCAAATAAAAGTTCATTAAAACAATCCTTTTTATTTTGCATTGTTACATTATTTTATTTTAATAACTATGAAAATAAGTAGTTCTCTGTTAGTGTCAGATTTGCAGTTTCATATGTCTTCAACTTAATGGGTTTAATTTACATCTTCATCAAATGGCTATGGTATAGGTTTACCATAATTATATACATGAATACATGCCTACCTATGTATATAGAAACAAATGTTTTTGTAAACAGCTCAGTGAGGACTTTGGACTGACATCAATTATAGGAATGTGATTATGAATATACATTCAATTTTCAAATTGAGCAATGGGTATACAGTTTGTTATCATTTCTGATTTTGAGTAGAGTTAGTAATAAGAACAGTGTTGAAGAAAAGCAGTATAAAATTAAAATTATGGAGATTTAAAATACAAGAGGATTCATAATAGTCACTTTAAAAACATTGTTTTTGCTTTGTACTTTGGAGCTGTAATTTAAAAAAAAAGAATGAACAGGTTTTTGTATGAATATATTAGAATGACTAATTATAGAGCATCTTTCAACTGGAATACATGTAGATACTAAAACCTGGTTGTATTTGATGTAATTTCAGTGCATGCATTGTGTGTAATCTGTATTAAGTGAAATATCTATAAATAAAGTTGTTTCTGCATTCCAATAACACATCTTCTGATATTTTTTGAAGCGCTTGTTGTCAGCAGGGGCTACTAGTTTCATTAACATCATCAAGGATCCTAAAATATTTTTAGCACAGTAACATCCCACCTTCTTCATGGTGTAGCTCTTTATCTGTGCTGGATTAACCAGAACTTTTATATTGTCATTTCTATTCACCACCATTGTGGTGTAATTGATCTTTTTCGATTAACCCAAAACAATGAAGTAGTCATATTTACTAAAGTTTTAATTTTGTGCATTTTATTATACTAACATTTTTTTGAATATTGGTAAGGTGGTATCATTTATGAACCACGGTGTTTGATAAAACATTATTGATAATAGAGTTTGCCATAAGTTCAAACAAGATTAATTAAATCTTTCTCAAACTCCTACTGTGAGTAAGGCAGTGTGGAGAAGGTCAATGGTTATGGGGAGAGATGGGGTATAGGGGGCTGGGAATGCAGGATGACCAAGGTTTTCTCCTAGTTGCTATTAGTGTAAAAAGCCCCCTGCCTAGGGAGTTGAACTGCAAGTATGTTTAAAAAAATCACAAACAAACAACAACTTTTCTTTTTTCAGTTCAGAAAATCTCTGAGTATATAATATCAAATTTTTTAAACAAGAAAGAAAAAAGCACATAAAAGTGACAAAATATAAAACTTCAGTGTTTATTATAATTAGGAGTGTGTGTGTGTGTGTGTGTGTGTGTGTGTGTGTGTGTCAGAGAGAGGGAGAGAGAGAGAGAGAGAGAGAATATCACTGGTGCACCACCTCCCAAGTATGTATTGGGTATGGGAATGCATGTACCTAACCCATTTCAGGAAGCATCCTGAAGTCCGCAACACTTTCCTGCCCTCAGTCACATCCAAGTAATAACTAAAGTGTGTTGCTAATACCTCCAGAATATCCCTGACATTTGTTATGTTGCCATTTCCTATTTCCAGTCTTCATCACCAGTTACCTCTTTCACTACTAACAAGTTGTCTTACTTCCTACTTTCATTTGTTCAATCAGTTTTCTACTCCATACCCATAATATCCCTCAAACACAGTGAAGCCTGATAGAAAAGCTTCTGAGTCTTTCCTTACTGCACATAGAATAAAGCCTCAATCTTTCTATTTTTCAAGGGACTTCGCAATCTTAACCAGTTCTACTTGTTCATTCTATCTCCTACCATCCCATGTACCTTATATTTTTGTCATTTCTTCTGCTATCCCCTCTTCTCTGACCATGGCATGCACTTTGATGCCTCCATAAATCTGCACAATTTACCAGAATTATATTGAGGACTTGTTTTGGTTAAGACACTGCTTTGAGGACAACAAAAATAACTAAGCTGCAGTTGGCGTTATTGAAGTGCAACCGTAGAGATAGGACAAGAACACAATTTTTTTTTTTTTTTTTTTGGAACGGAATCTCGCTCTGTTGCCCAGGCTGGAGTGCAGTGGCCGATCTCGGATCACTGCAACATCTGCCTCCCAGGTTCAAGCAATTTCCGGCTAATTTTTGTATTTTTAGCAGAGAAGGGGGTTACACCATGTTGGCCAAGTTGGTCTTGAATGCTTGTCCTCAACTGATCCACCAGCTTCGTTCTCCAAAGGGCTAAGATTACAGGCATGAGCCACTGTGCCCGGCCAAGAACACAATTTTAATACCAGATAGAATGACAAAAATGAAGAAAAGCTATCTGATTTTATTAAAAATGAAACAAGTCTGTATGGTATCATTTCCTTTCATATCTTTTCAAATCTTAGCATCAACCATACATAATTCTTATAAACTTAAAGTGCTTCAAATAAATGACTAGGTCATATAACCTGTAAACATTAGTTTCTGGACACTATTCCCAGAAAATTGTTACATTACTTTTTTTCATTAATCTAGAAAGAATTTGAAATATCTATTTTGGATATTTTGATTGTTGTTACACCTTTGTCCATAAATTGTACTCAAAAAATATCAAAGGAAAAATCTTAACCCATTTGTTGTTATAGTCAATATACAAAGGGATGAGAGAACCACATACTGCTTTTAGGCATTTTCGCACAAGAAGCATCTAAGTGTGATTTCTTCAAAGAAAAATATTGCCAGTATGCTATATGGCAAGAAAAAAAAAGACATTCTTGTCTTCAATAGAGGGACATTTTCTATGGCAAATAATCACAAATCTATATTAATGACTATGGCTTGGATGTGTTTGTATAGATATAAATTCTGTCGCCGAAGTACTGAGAGGAAATGTTCACCCAAATAGAAATCATTGTGTCTCTTCTCCTCTCTGCTGAAAAGCAAAGTTATCAATTTTGGGAAAACATGAACAGATGGAGAAACCATGGGATATCAAATGTACATATATGTATGTCCAAATTATAACATGGCAGATCTACTCTAAAATGCAGAAACTACTTATCCCTAGTCAAAGCTGACTGTGTGTGCGTGTGTGTATATGATTTTAAGGAATGAACTTCTTGGCACATATATTGAAAGCAAATATGCTACCTGCTTCCTAGAAACAGAACAGATAAAAATAAACCACTGAGTTCGTAAGTTAGCCCCTTTTTTTTTTTCATTCTTACTATGAAAGAAAAAGTATTTCTAAATTATATGTAGGAAACATTCTGAGGAATTGGGATTTTGTTTTGTTTCTCTTTCAGATCTTTCCTGGACAATCTTAAATCAGGAGATTCTGTAACACCAACTTCAGAATAATACATTTCCATGGTACATGTTTTACAAAAATTCATTACTTATGTCACCTCTTTTTATAAAGGGAATGAATACCATCATGAGTAGGAAAATAATGTTTCTTTCAGTTACAACCATAGAGAATTTTCAGTCATCCCAGATAAAATAAACGTGTATTAACATTCTTAAAACAGGTGACTGTTTTCTTCAGTGCACATACCTTGATAATAGAGGGTCATTATAAAGGGGTAATAAAGTGGAAGACTAGATATGAAGACCAAGGCTAAGGACTCAACAACATGAAAAGCGTAGCAAGCGCAGTACATTACCATATTTCTAGTGAACAAACATTTCCTTAATATTTGTGTGGTGTTTTATATTTTTTGAAGTACTTTCATCAGGGCATTGGGAAGATTATTATTCATAAATGCACACCCTCATTCCTTTTTAATCTGATAGAGGCCAAATGTATGTTTTACTCTGATTTATTTCTTAGAAACAATTATATCTAAAATGAATCTAACTCAAAATGTACCATAACAGTATTCCAAATCTGCCCTAACTCTATTTCTACCTCAAATATCACTGTGCTTATATATGAAATTTCAAATTTCATGGTCCATTTTTTTCTTTCATGGAGAAAAACACCATATCCTTTCTGATATGAAATCGAAATCCCAAGAGATAACTCAGAAAATAGACTTGCAACGTATCCTTTTTTAGGTTAGTCTGGCATCTAGAATGTGTTAGAACCCCAGATTGGCTACCACATATAGATATGGGAAGTGCTGGATGTACTAACAGATAGAGACTTGTCCTATTAACACATTAAAGAAACATACTGTAGATTAGACCTTCTCATCCTCTGGGAACCCTTTGTGACACCATGTTCACATAGGGACATGGGCCTTGTTTCATATAATTTCTGTTCATCCAGTAGGTGAAAAAGTCTCAGTCACCTGCAGACTTTCTGGATAAGGTGACTCCTTTTTACTCAGGAAAACAGTTTTCTGATCATGTTCCCTTATAATCCATTTTTATGCCTTTCTTAACAATATTACTTTGTAGTATACTTCAGTCAAATCACCTGAACTCTCTCATTCCCTGAGCGGTGGTCACTATCCTCAACACAATGTCGATATACACTGTATGGAAAGTAAAGTTTATTTAACCACATAACCTGCTATTCTGGAAATACATTTTTCACATTGAGAGAAGTGTACTTTGTGTAGCTAAAGCTATACAAGGTGGTTGAGTGTTGGCAAAAAGAGATTGAGACAGAGAGAGAGTGCTGGTGCTAAAAAGATAAAAAGCCTATCAGGAAAAGAGAAAGAGGCGGTACGATCCAAAAGATCAAAACTATGGATTCTCTCGGACATTTCCTCAGTTTCATCAACCTGTATCTTTATTAGTTTGCCTCTCCCTGCTAATGCCTAGGATTGGTCCTTAAACAAGTTGTCATTTCTGAAGGTTTCACATAGTCACACCCCCAAGCTATACCACCTTCTCTCATCTCTGACAGAAATATGAAATAGGCCTGGAGTGGTGGCTCATGCCTGTAATCCCAGCATTTTGGGAGGCTAAGGCAGGCGGATCATGAGGTCAAGAGATCGAAATCATCCTGGCCAACATGGTGAAACCCCATCTCTACTAAAAAATACAAAAATTAGCTGGACCTGGTGTCATGTGCCTGTAGTCCCAGCTACTTGGGAGGCTGAGGCAGAATTTCTTGAACCCGGGAGGTGGAGGTTGAAGTGAGTTTGATCACGCCAAACTCCAGCCTGGTGCCTGGTGACAGAGTGAGACTCTGTCTCAAAAAAAAATAAAAATCGTATAGTTATATATATTCTCCCTGAGGTTTCCCCTTGCCCAAAGAAACGTAACAGTCCAGAAAGATCTTTATATAGGTTTGATTCTATACGGATATATAAATACTGATATTATATGTATAATACATATTACATTATATATGTATATATTTTGTTTATTATATATGCATTACATTACACATTACATATATATTACATGTATAATACGTAATACACATAACATTGCATACATTATACATACATACATAATACATATATAACACATATACATGTATATAATATATATACATAGTATATATAAATATAAAACTAAAATAGAGTTAATAGAAATTAACTTAGGTCATAATTTTTAAAAAGTCAAACTAAGAAGATGAAAATTATATTTTTCTAATGGGAACAAATATTTGTTTTCATCTTGGAAAAATATTTTACTTACTTAACTAATTAATACATTTTTTTTGAGACAAGGTCTCTCTCTCTCACCCAG